CACCATATATGTTCAAGATCTCGTTAATTGCAATTGAAGTAGCCCACTCCTGGTCAAAATAGTCTAATCCTTTTAATATTTTAAATTTGTTTGAACTTTCTATATTTTACTATATTTTTCCATGTATAAGACTATACTTTTGTCTAAAATCTTTAGAATAAAAATTGTGGGTCATCTTATACACGGAAGTAAGCTGAGGAGATAACAAAAACAAGTGGAGGGGAAAGCAGGGATCAAAGCGATCCTGCAGCACTTTGATCCCTTTCCCCCTACACTTGCTAAGCCCCACTTAGATTTCTTAATTTTGGATTAGAAAAGTGGGTGGCATCTTATACATGGAAAATACGGTATCTATCCATCCATCCATCTATCCATCTATTCATATCTCTCTCTCTCTCTCTCTCTCTCTCTCTATCTATCTATCTATCTATCTATCTATCTATCTGGTTTATTGCTGACACCCATTGCTCTGGGTGGCTTTCAAAACAGACCGTTGAACCCCCCACCTCACCCCATAAGCACAAACACTGTGGTGATGACCAATTACTTGTTTTGTTAAAAAAACTAAAATTAAAAGTTCACAATATCAGGGGATATATTCTTGAAGGCTGCTTTATAACATTCACCTTTCTCTAGGAGGAAAATCCTGGACCTGAGGCGCAGACACTGAGAAAGGCTTCTCCCATCACAGCCCGGCCAGAAGCCTCTCGGATCCTGGCAGCTATTGAGCTGTGACAATTTGGAAACAAACACCCAAATTAATGTGGGCACCTTTAAGAATCACAGATTTCTTTCCGGGGAAACTTTCATGGTTTAAAACCCCACTTCCTTGTTTTCTTGTTTTAAGGAAGGGGATTCAAAACCATGAAATGTCACTTTCCCCCCACACATACACACACCTCTGTGTTTCTCTTAGATATTGGCTGGACATAGAAGAGGCCCTCGCTCTAATATTGACAGTTCCTACTAGAACACAGAACTCTGAAAAGTTACTTTTTAAAGATGGCAACTGCTGGAATAGCTGAGGCATTCTGGGGGTTGTCATCCAAAAAAGTAACTTTTCTAGGCTTGGTTGAGTCAGGCAGCTCTTTAGAATAACGTCACTCCATGCTGTGTCAAAGGACCTGGAAGAGGGCAGAGTGGAGAGATGCTTATAAAGATGTGGTTGCCAAAGCCTAAGAATGTCCCTACATCACCCTGTTAGTATAATCTTTTACGCTTGCTTTTTCTCCAAAGAGATGACAAAATTCCCCCATCTTGACACAATTTCCCCCACCTATATCTTAGCAGCAGGGAGCTGAAGTTAAGGTCTCACTGGTCCACATCTAGCACTCGCGCAGACCTTCTGTCCCATGCTTTTGTTGGTTCAGCAACAAAAGCATGGCCTATTTTAGGACTGAAATTCCACTGTGGGGGTTTTTTTTTTTTTTTTTTTTTTTTGCAAAAATATAAGGATCTGTGTGCAAAAGCCAGAAGAATCAAACATCTCCTCTCTACAAATCTTTCATGGAAAAGAGACAAGATGGCTTTTCTGTTCTGAGACAATGAACTCTAGGGATGAATACAATGTAGCGGGTTGGGTGGGATCCTGTATAGTAGGACCCCTGTATTTGAGGTGGATCGGTTCCAAGTCCTACCCCTGTGGATGCTGAAAAATGCAGATGAGTTCAAACGCTATTTTAACAGCAAGTGATACACATAGCATGGTCTCTGGCTCCCTCTTGTGGCCAGTTCTGGTAACTTCATCTTCAAAAATATGCATTTCTAGGATTTTTCTTTTAATATTTTCAGATCACTAATAAGTGAATCGGTGGATACTGATCCTGCAGATATGGGGGTCCTACTATACTGGGAATGAGAACCAGAAGCCCATCACAGAGCCTGTAATGAAACAATTCCAAAAATGTACAGCTTCTGTAGTTGTTCTCGAATGCTGCTATACACAAACCCTGTATATCTTCAACAGCTTTGTGTCATCAGACTGCAATCACAGCAAAATGTGTGTGTGTGTACGTGTGTGTGCATGCATGCACATCTGTGTGTGTGTTTAGAGCCCATGTTGCTGCTTCAGTGTCCAGCCATTCAGCTTTCCCAATCCAGATGTCAACTCATTGGGTTGGCCCTGTACAGATGTTGTTTTCTCTCTGTCTCCAGTGGATTAAAGCAACCAGCAAACTTGACAATATATGTGACAGTGTTCTGAATAAACTTTATTTTAATAAGCCTGCTTCCTTCTAAAGTTGGAGTTTGACACAGGCTAAGTTTTACACCAATGCAAACCCCACATTCTGAAACAAGGATGCCATAGAGGAGACATTCACACCTATGCACTCATTCAGAGCCTGGAAGAGGTTATTTCTGGACTACAGCTCCCAGAATCCCCCAGTCCACATGACCACTGCTGGGAACCGTACTCCAAAGCAATAACATTCTCTTTATTTATTGTCTAGCATGGGTTAATCAAACTCTTAAGATTCCTGTTTGTGAAAGAAGACAGTCGAAGAAGAGGGAAGAGGCAAAGAAAAGTAGGCAAACCATTCCTGGTACCCAATAATCCAGTACATCCTTGAGTCACCTAGAACCTTCCCCTGCAGAAGTGTGTTTTATTTGGTTCCTTGCCCTGGCTTCTAGGACATTGTGTTCTAGACCAGTGGTCCCCAACCTTGGGCCTCCAGATGTTCTTGGACTTCAGTTCCCAGAAATCCTGGCCAGCAGAGGTGGTGGTGAAGGTTTCTGGGAGTTGTAGTCCAAGAACATCTGGAGGCTCAAGGTTGGGGACCACTGTTCTAGACTATGATGGCTGGTCAGAATTGACTTGACGGCAAATGATGAGGATGACGATTCCTGCTTTGGCAGTGGATTGGATGCCATGACTCTTGGGTCTCTTCCAACTATGGGTCTTTTCTGAGAGCACTGCCCCACAAAAGCAAAATCGTTAAGCTCTGGTAAGAGCCACTCTCCTGCAAGGAACAGACATTCCCATGATTATCAGCGCTGAGGAGCTTAGCATGTAACTCCTTCTCGACAGGCAACCTTCCTCCATAGCATATGCCTTCTTCCAGTTTTGCAACCACTTCCTTGGCTCCATGCCTTCAGTGCCTTCCTCTCTTTTGATGCTGTGGGTCCAGATTATGTGATTCGGAACTCAGAGACTCTAAAGGTGGACAGCTTTCTTGTTGCCGGAGAAAAATCAGAACTGGTGGTCTTCCTTCCAAACTCCATCAACGATTTATGGGCCAGATGGCAGAAAGGATGAAGAGGGTCAAACACAGGGTGAAATAAGCAGGTTCCGTCCTCTCCCTTCCCCACCGGGCCTCGTTAATCATGCAGCCAAAGAGTCGGGTTAAAGCAGCTGCTAAGCAGGGGTTGAACAATGTCCTCTTGCCTCCACGTGCCACCAGTAGGGCTGGACGAAGGAGCCTGGAAAAGCAGAAAGGTGCAGGAGTCAAAAACCCGAAGGGAAGGAGAGAGGAGAAGAGGGGACTCCGGTCAATTTAGTATTCATTCTCTCTAGAACAACGGGGATATGGAAGACATGGGCTTGGGAGGCAATGTCATGCTTGACCTGAGAGGGAAAAGGCATACAAAAAGTGTGTGCATTGGGGAAAGGATGTGTTGCAAGTGTGCATTATTACAGAACGTGCGTATGGAAAATGTGTGTAAATTTCCCTGCGGGAGAAACGTCACAACTGGATCTGAATGAAGAGCGGAAGAGGCGTGCAAGCAGGGTTTGGACAAACGCCGCAAAACTGAAATAGAAAATTGGAATCCCCTCTCGCTTCAACCCTCCTGTCATCTTGCCAAGTCTGCTATGTCTTCTTCTACTGAAAACTTGGACAAAACAGCAGTAACTTTTTATAGTAGTAGATCTACAGATGTAGATACTTCGTTTGGATACTTAATGTGCTCCAAACTGCAGCTTCTCCCTGCCCTCCAACCTAACAGAACTGACGTGGTTATGCATGTAATAAAATGTGTGAACATACAGTGTGTGTAAAAATAAACATATCTATATCCAGAGCTTGGAAAAGTTCCCTTTTTTGGATGACAGCTCCAAAATTTTCCAAGCTCTGCATATCTATTGGGATACCGAGACAATTTCCCATCTGTAGGCTAGTCAAACCCATGGTTGCTTGGCGGCCAGCATGGACGAACAGCCGCTTGCCCCTTCCCCTCTCAGGCCCTGCAGCTCATCTGCAAGAATCTGAAAGCATCTTAAAACCGAGCATCATTCTCCTCTTCAGCTGCAGCTCAGCAAAAGTCCTTGAAGATGAAAGGCCTGGCTCCTATCGGAGGCATTGTGAAGACATTGTTAAGAGAGCGAGGGAGGAAAAAAACCCTGAAGGGCTAAGAATAGACTGTCAAAGAGCCAGCTATAAGGAGATCCGGTCCCATCAATTCTCTGATCCAAGTAAAGATGAACCAAGGTTGGTCAACGCAGAGCATGGCGCAAGCAGGAAACCTAAATGTGAGCCGGAGTGAGGTTGCAGAAAGCCCTCCCTCTTTGCTGGAGGCCTTCTGGGACATCTCTGTTGGAGCCGAGCAGAGGGAGCAAAGTGGACTGATGCAATGCAATGAATTCCAAAATCCATGCTGGGATGATAAACTTTATTAGGCCAACCAGAAAGGCATCAAAAAAAGTGCAGGCTTTTCAAGAGCACTGATCTCTTCATCAGCCAAGATGTTACAGAAGTAAACAAGCGGGGAAATGCTGTTTAGATCCTTGAGGTCTGCCTGGCGTCTTGAGATGCAAAAGCAACCGTTCTTCCTGGAAGAAGACAGTGGACCCCATTAGGAACAGCACCGCTGTGCCGGATCTAGACTGGGAAGGCCATGGCTGGCTAGGATAACCCTTCCCCAAGGTCCCAGCAGCCTCTGAGGCTCTCTGGCAGAGGCTTAGAAAAGATTAACAGCCTTTGCTGCTACAGGGCTTTTGGGGTGTGTGTGTGTGTTCAGTCTTGCCACTTCGGGAAGAGTCCTAGGAAAAGGGGCTACAAGGATTCCCAACGGCCTGTTCTTTCTGAAAATCTGATTCAGTTGTGAAAACACTCATACCTTGTACTTTTTTAAAAAAAAATATTGTGGTTGTTTTTAGCACTCCCTAATGCAGCTGCTGTCACATTGATATTAACTACATACTCCCTCGTGATTAAAGTCTAAAGTGCTTTTAACGTCTTCTACTCTGCTTTTTTTTTTCAGCCTTTAGAATACATCTTTGGGAGGGACTCGTCAAATCAATCCTGATGAGAGAAAGACTCTAGAGATTTAGAACAGATTTAAAAAAAAGTTCTGCACCTGTGTGCCAACTGGGAATGGTGAAAGTGGAAGCTCATCCTTTCTGGATGAGTGCTGGTTCTGAAAGTATGAACCGGAGGATGTTTCACTAACCCTCATGTTGAGTAGGTTTCAGATGTAAGACAGAGAGAGATATATTCACGAAGGCTATTCAAGAGTGCTGTCCTCTGAAGATGCCCATGGCCACAGAGACTGGCGAAACATCAGGAAGAACAACCTTCAGAACACAGCCAAAGAGCCCGAAAAACCACAACAACCAACAGAGAGAGATGATGCTAGAACTGGCTTTGATTCCAGAGTTTGGAAAAGGCCCTTATAAGGCAGTAGTTCCCAAGCTTGGATAACCCAGGTGTTCTTAGATGGCAGGTCACAGAAATCCTGGTCAGCACAGCTCATGGTGTTTGGGTCCAAAAACATCTGGGGACCCAAGGTTTGAAACCACTGCATATAACCACTAGCCAGGATGACCAGAAGACATGGAATTTGGGAGTTGTCATCGTCATGATCCTCATCATTTCCAAGCTCTGTGGCAGACACATCCTTTTACAGGGCCTTTAATACTTCTTGCCCTGATCCCATTGAGTTTTCCCAGACGCAGTACCGTATATATAATGCGGCAACGAAGGCGAAAGCCATGGAGCTCACAGGGCCACTGACCTGGCTGGTGGCTGAAACCATTCCATTCAGCAGAAAGGTGGAAGGCCCGCCGTCCGATTCCCTGCTACTCCCTTGGCCTTCGCCTTCCTCAGGGTCGGCTGAGCTGTCCATGGTGCTGAAGCCTTCGCCAGTGGCCCCCTCCACTTTGGGCTGCCCCATTCCTTGGACGGACACGTTGCTCAGCAGGGCGCTGTCCAGCAGAGTGGCTGGTGGGCTGGAGCTGGTGGTGTGGACATCTCCATCCAACTGACCCTTTAAAAACAACAACAGCAACAAGCCAAATCTCTAAAGAAGACGAAAAGTTACAGCCTAACTAGATTTTGGCCAAATCACTGGTTTTTTAAAAAAATTATTTGGTTGGTTGGTTGGTTGGTTGGTTGGTTGGTTGGTTGGTTGGTTGGTTGGTTGGTTGGTTGGTTGGTTGGTTGGTTGGTTGGTTGCTGGCTGGCTGGCTGGCTGGCTGGCTGGCTGGCTTTTAAATTTTGATTTGAATTGAATTTTCTACCACCTGTCTGGCTGCCAAGGCCACTTCAAACCTTGCGCTGCTTTAAAAACAATGATACAGCTCATTAGATTATAGTTCATACAACATGACCTAACCCATTCCAGGTCTTAAAGCTAAACCTTTCCAGGTGGGAAATCTACCACTGGTGTAAAAAAAAAAGTGAATCACAATTTATCTACATAATATAATTCGGCTCTTTTATTTGGATTTTGTAGTGCTATGTTTTGCTGCAAGATGGTTGGGTCTCAGTGAACACAACTGCCAATGGGCTAAATGAAATAACACTGAAACTATGGGAAGTTCAGTACAGTAGGACCCCTGTATCTGGAGAGGAGCAGTTCCAAGCCCCTTCCCCCACGCAGATGCTGAAAAACATGAATTATAGCAAATGCTATTATAATAGTGAACAACAGTATACATACGGTAGCATGGTCTCTTGCTCCCTCTAATGGCCAGTTCTGGTCACTTCGTCATTAGAAATACATATTTGAGGGATTTTTTTTCTTTTAATATTTTTAATATTTTCAGACTGTGGATAAGTGAATCAGTGGATATTAATCCCATGGATAAGGAGGTTCTACTGTACTCTCAGTGTAGGTATCATGGAGTGAGTGATCTGTGGGCTCAAACTCCACATGGGCCTGGATGGGAGTAAAGCGTAGCTCACGCTCCACAAATCCACCTGTGCAGCTCCGCACGCAGCAGGGTGCACATAGATAGGGTTGGTGTGTTAGAAAAAGAGACCCACACCATGACTACAGACAGGCGACTCCAGCAAGGGAACAGATCACTCCTGTACCAACTCATGGTAAGAACTGGTTGGTGTGTGTGTGTGTGTGTGTGTGTGTGTGTGTGTGTGTGTGCGTGCGTGCGTGCGTGCGTGCGTGCGTGCGCGCGTGCGTGTTTGTTTGTTTGTTTGTTTTTTATTTTGGCTTAGGGGTAAGGAAAGTAGATGGAATAATCATGACCCACTATCCTCCCCCAGAGCAATTAATCATGGAGACTCCAGGGAAACCAAGGGTTCAATTTGGTTTTTTGGTTTTTTAGCATAGGAGGACTCAGTAGACGGTATCTGAGCCTGTGTATTTCTCACACATAGCAAAATAAATAAGCAAGCAAGCAAGCAGGCAAACAAACAAAAAATCCCAGCGACTCTGTTAATTCACAAGAGATCCTAAGGCACACAAAGATGTACATCAGTCAACGAACGCTGGGCTTGTTTCGCAGAGAATTAAACACGTCCTGGAAGGCATGGTCGCTGGGATCCAGACAGACGTAGGAGATGTTCTGCTTTCGGACTACAGTCGATCTCTCAGGATCTCCCAGACAACATCTCCACTCCTGGGAGTTGTAACCCAAAAACAATAACTTCAAAGTCTTTATTAACTGGTACGGTTTGGTCAACGTATAGTCTTCGTATTTGAGATAAAGAATAAGAAAAGAGTGTGGTTTGTGAGATCACTGTGAACAAGGAGGAAAAAGGAATCCTATGTATGCCAGGGAGCTACTATGAGGGTACAGTCCTCTGTGCCACAGGGTGGCTGGAATATTCTGGGAAATATGCCTTATATGTCTCAGATTTGGTGGAAATTTGGTGGAAATTGGTGGAAACTCTGTGGTCGTGTGCCACAGGGGGAAGAGCCAGAGAAGGCCTGAATTTCTCACAGTGAGCACCACGCTGCCTTAAAGTTGCTGTTCAGGTACCCTAGATCTGGGTCTCACCTGCTGGGCACCCCACGTGTTGTTGCCTTCTGTTCCCGAAGGAGTGAGGCCCGGAGTTGTCACCATAACCCCACTAGCAGCCCGGCTCAGGGTTTCTGTGGCCAGGAGCACACTTTCGTGAGCCTGCTCTTCGTTTCCAAAGGCCATGAAGTCCTCGGCATCTTCTCTGCCATCCCCACCAGCTGCCCCACTCTCTGCCAAAGGGTCTTCAGCCTCTCCGCTGGCCCCATCATCCTCTGCTGTCGGCTCAGGCTCTTCAACTAGAACAAGGATCACAAGTGGAATAGTCATGCTGAAGGAAGGGAGGGAGGGAAGGAGGGAGGAAAGGAAGGAGGGAGGGAAGGAAGAAAAGAGTGAAAGAGGGAGGGAAGGAGGGAAGGAAGGAAGGAGGGAGAGAGGATGGTAGCACTTCTTGTTTTTCGACAGTCGTGCCATTCACATAACGTTCATAACCAAAACCCTCAGCCCAGCAGAGTCTCAAGCTGGGCGAGTGATTGAAAGAAAGAAAGAAGGAAGGAAAGAAAGAAAGAAAGAAAGAAGGAAAGAAGGAAGGAAAGAAAGAAGGAAAGAAAGAAAGAAGGAAAGAAAGAATGAAAGAAAGAAAGAAGGAAAGAAAGAAAGAAAGAAGGAAAGAAAGAAGGAAAGAAGGAAAGAAAGAAAGAAAGAAAGAGAGAAAGAGGGAAGGAAGGAAGGAAGGAAGGAAGGAAGGAAGGAAGGAAGGAAGGAAGGAAGGAAATGTGTATATTAAGTAGGGCATCCATTTAGCAATAGTGCAGGAGGGATGGTCTCTAAACTTGGTTACAGAGCTCCTATACACAAACATCCAACTAAAAGGCAGCAATAAGAAGAAACAAAAAGGGACCTCAGAGGGGAAAAATAAAGAGAAGACTAAGTGGCAGGAGAGATGCCTTTTGTATGTCCTAGACCCTGGCAAAGTCCTAACCGGATGAAAAACCTCCCCTGCTCCATGTACTGAACCCGGAGGTGTTCCTCCTCCCACGCTCCCACATACTTTTGATGAAATCCAGCTGGTATAGGATCCGCTCCTCGGCATTGAAATCGACCGTGTAGTGCTCCATGTTGTCATAGCCCGGCTCCAGGGCCTCTGGCTTGCAGTTCTGAGTCATCTCAGTGATCCTGGAATGGGGGGGGGGAAAGAAAAGCGATGAGAGGACCCCCCAGACGGCAGCATCTACCATTTCAAAGTTGAGAGAAGGGTCGAGGCAAGGATGCTGAGTGCCGAGTACTTACTTCTGGATGAGAACTTTGGCGTTCTGAGGCAGGAAAGAAAACAGACAGATAGAACCATGAGCTTTTTTAAAAAAAAAAAATCCAGGATTGGTTGATTGCACATTAAAAAAAAAACATGCAACAGGGCTGTTTCTGTGTTCCGTTTCCAGGAGCCACTGGCCTTTTGGGGAACGTTTGACTGCACTAGATAAAAGCATCTGGAGTAACCACAGAAACCAGCCGGTGAAGGCTATAGCGTGGCTTTGCATCACGGATAAATGCTTGGCCCACCTCCTACTCCAGCGGCCTGGGGCTCACCATTTTTTGGATGGGATGTTCTCCCACCCTAAGGGGTGATGACGCTGGGCAATAAAAGGAGAACCCTCGCCATGCAAAGCTTCCGCTCTACTCCAGGGCGGCTCAAGTTCTCACACCACCATTAACACTGCTAGTTTTCTCCAGAAGCACTCCTTGTAACAGTGCGGGGAGGGGGGCCCTCACGTGGTGGTGGCATCTCACGTCGCCAGAGGCCTACAGACTCTGTGTGAGGTGCAATGGCCCCTTGGATGAGACGGGAGGTCACCCACAGTCATATAAACCTATTGCCGCCGCCTCCACCCATATCAGCCTTCCTACAATATCCGGCCCTGAGCACACACACACACACACACACCCCAGAGCCTGGCATTTGGAAGGCGTTGGCTTTGTTTTTTCACCCCTGCTGACCGGCGACCTCTTTCCTCCTCCAAGAGGATTAACCCTGCCTCTATTGCTGAGCTAGCACCCTTGCTGAGTGATGGGAGAAGGGACAGGGGGGCCCATGAACGGCATAAAATCTTGGTCCTTCAATGAGCAAAAGCAGTCTGGTCAGATGTGAGCCACATTTGACTTGGTTTGAAGACGTTTCGCAAGCCACAGCATTTGGGATGCTTGAATGCAAACTGGGGTTCCTTTAAAGCAGGCATGGCTGATTTCTGGGTAGGGAGATGTAAGGAATATGTGTTGAATTTGCAGGTAGCATAAGGACTGTATTCTCAAGAAGAAGGGTCTCAAATGGAAAGGTGTGATCAAAGAGGCTCATTCGCCTATGAAGTGTTTGGAACGTTGCTGTGATTTTGTCTAACTATCATCATCATAGGCATCCTTCAGTCTCGAGAGACTATGGTAACATGCTCTGAATCGAGGAGTGTCCTCTCCAGAGCATGAAGCCCAGGTAAGGTAATGTGGAGGATAGGCTGTTACCCAAGCAGCAGATCCCCCCTCTCCACATTGCTGAAATGGTCCAATGGAAAGGCAAGAGCCAATACAACTGGTTCCAGCAATGTCGCAGGAGTTGGCAGAACGACACGAGCTGCCTTCGGGACTCCAGCTCCGGATTTTGCCTCGAGGTTAACTCCTGAAGCCTTTTCCATTGGTGGATATAGCCACAAGGCAGTGGAGGTTTGAAATTGGAGTTTTCCTTCTCCTAGATGGGCTGCCTTCCATGGCTGACGAGCCCCACCTACCCGGCATTGTCTAACTAACACAAATGTTAAAAAAGAAAAAGCTCCCTTACTCCATCTAGTGGCCAAATTATTCTTTTTTTAAAATGAGATTGGGGGAGGGCGCGGAGGATCCTATCCCCTAGAGCAAGTGTCTCCAAACTTTTCACACGGAGGGCCATATAATTTATTTGCGATATTTTCGAGGAATGCACATGCACGGACGGGCTGGATAAAAAGGCCAGACAGACTGGATAGACAGGGGGGCCCATGAACGGCATAAAATCTTGGTCCTTCAATGAGCAAAAGCAGTCTGGTCAGATGTGAGCCACATTTGACTTGGTTTGAAGACGTTTCGCAAGCCACAGCATTTGGGATGCTTGAATGCAAACTGGGGTTCCTTTAAAGCAGGCATGGCTGATTTCTGGGTAGGGAGATGTAAGGAATATGTGTTGAATTTGCAGGTAGCATAAGGACTGTATTCTCAAGAAGAAGGGTCTCAAATGGAAAGGTGTGATCAAAGAGGCTCATTCGCCTATAAGTGTTTGGAACGTTGCTGTGATTTTGTCTAACTAACACAAACGTTAAAAAAGAAAAAGCTCCCTTACTCCATCTAGTGGCCAAATTATTATTTTTTAAAAATGAGATTTGGGGAGGGCACGGAGGATCCTATCCCCTAGAGCAAGTATCTCCAAACTTTTCACACGGAGGGCCATATAATTTATTTGCGATATTTTCGAGGAATGCACATGCACGGACGGGCTGGATAAAAAGGCCAGACAGACTGGATATGGCCCGCAGGCCGTACTTTGGAGACCCCTGCCCTAGACGATGCAAACAAGTTTTTGAGCTAATAATTTTTCCCCCAAATAATTTTTTAAAAAAATTCAGTGCTGCATGGAAGTGGCAAAATGCCATTTGGGCTTGCTTGTGGTCTATAGGCCACATGTTGCCCACCCCTGCTTTAAAGCATGAGCATCAGAGAGGGGGGAAATGGCTGTAAGGTAAACTAGTGAGTTATTTCCAGAACCTTGAATTCAGAACTTTAGAATCTTCATCTGGGGCCAGCCCAAGGAGGCTGTCCTCCCCCTGCATCTGTGATTCTACAATCTACAGCAGCAGAAAATGCACAAGCATAGATTCTCCACAGAATCTAGCTGATCTTTAGAAGGTATTTGACCAGAGCACCAGAGATTTTAAAGCTTCTGGCTTTAAGCATGCTGGATGGATAGTGAACTGAAAATGAAACTCATCAATATTATAAATAAAACAAAAAATAGTTCAGTAGCACCCCTGTTAGGGATGTGGTGGCGCTGCATGTTAAACCGCACAAGCCTCTGTGCTGCAAGGTCAGAAGACCAGCCATCATAAGATCGAATCCACGGAACAGAGTGAGCTCCCGTCACTTGTCCCAGCTCCTGCTAACCTAGCAGTTTGAAAGCATGCAAAAATGCGAGTTGATAAATAGGTACCACCACGGTGGGAAGGTAACGGCGTTCCGTGTCTAGTCGTGCGGGCCACGTAACCACGGAAAGTGTCTACAGACAATGCTGGCTCTATGGCTTGGAAACGGGGAGGGGCACCACGCCCTAGAGTTGTACACGACTGGACAAAATGTCAAGGGGAACCTTAGGACCCCTGTATCTCTGGAGGATTAGTTCCAAGTCCCCACAGATGCTGAAAACGGCAGATAGTAGGAAACACAATACAGTGCATAGCATGGTACATACATAGTGTGGTCTCTGCCTCCCTCTAGCACCCAGGTCTAGTAATTTCATCATGAAAGCACGTTTCTAGGTTTTTAAAAAAATGTTTTTAATATTTTCACACTGTGGATCACCGAAACCACGGATATCGATCCCGCGGATATGGGGATCCTACTGTAAATGCTGAATTACACAGCACAGGTCACCCATGGAAAATGATTGTGTCAGCAAGGTAAGTTCTCTAGAAGGTTTTTCCAGCTACTTTGCTATACACGAAGTGTCTTTTCCATGAGCAGGCATTAAAACCTGTGCTTCCCCCACGACCAGCCCAGGAAGAGTTGTGTCATATGATTTAGCTAGACTGGCTCGTTCTTTGGATGGAGAGTTGGAGAAGAGCAATTTTACTCGACCTGCACGAAAACCGCCATCTGAGGCTCCTCCATGGATTGCAAGGCTGTGTCTACCAGCTTGGAAGATGCTTCGATGTGGTCGCTGCATGCTTTGCTCAGGGATTTCAAGTGTTGGATTTTATTCTCTTGTTCATACGTGACCCTCTGCAACATGATCTTTCGCCGCTCCTCCAAAATGGCGCACATGCGATCAAATTTCTCTCCCAGGGCCTGCTTCTGAGCTTTGCAGTTGTTCTGCACGGGAAAGACAAGAGCACTCAATAGACAGTAGGAGGTAGCTTTGGACCAAATGGTTCTTCTCAGGTGTAACAAACCATGGTTTCCCCCTACATGAACACGTTCTGCACAAACTTCGAGTGCCATGTTTCCTCCTCATCTTCTTTTGTAGCACGCAGAGGAAATCCACAGCTTCTCCACACACGTCTGGTGAGTGGGACAGGTAAAATCACTCCTTAAATATCTCACTTACCTGGAATGCCTTCTTAAGGTCACCGTAAGTCATTTCTGAGATGATGGCCCGTAAGACACAAATAATAATACTCCCCTATCAATTTCTATATGGAAAATTCAGGCCACTTATTTATCTGGACTACAGGTTCTATAATAATACTCCCCTATCAATTTCTATATATAGAAAATTCAGGCCACTACAGGTTCCTGGAATAACCTAACCATTCTGAAGGAAATCAACCCAGAGTGCTCACTGGATGGACAGATCCTGAAGGTGAGGCTCCAATCCTTTGGCCATCTCATGAGAAGAGAAGACTCCCCGGAAAAGATCCTGATGTTGGGAAAGGGTGAAGGCAAGAGGAGAAGGGGATGACAGAGATGGATGGACAGTGTCATCGGAGCGACCAACATGAATTTGACCAAACTCCGGGAGGCCATGGAAGACAGGAGGGCCTGGTGTGCTCTGGTCCATGGGGTCACAAAGAGTTGAACATGACTAAACAACTAAACAACTAAACAACAACAACAGGTTCCAGAATCCCCAAGCCAGTGGTCATATTGGCCAGAAGATTCTTGGCTCTGTAATCTGAGAAAAGTAATTTCCCCGAGCTCTGTGTGTTTCCTAGAGAAAGAGAGATGCTTTAATACATTGCAAGATGTAATTTTCTTTCCTCTAGGGAAGAGCCTGTTTATCCATTAACGCAAGCAGTTTCAGGAGCCACTGAATCTCACCTACCTGCTTCCAAAATCCACTTTGCTACTTTACTTTGCTTGTTTCTGACAAAAGCCATTTATCTGCCAAGGGCGAGGGTGGAGAAGCACAAAATAAATTCAAAATTCTTTCAAATACCAGCAGTGGGCTTTCCCCCACCCCGCTGTGTTGTGAAGAAGACTTGATGCTGCCTGACTCACACAGCAAACAGCGTCACAAAACCGTCTGAGTAAAAGTTGCTAAATCTAGAATCATTAATGCTGCGCCCTATTCAACACCCTCTTACCAGACTAATCCTCCACCTTTTTACTCAGTCTAGTCACTGCCAACCCAAATACTGGCTGGCAGGGGTGGGATGGGAGGAATGTTAGGAAGGAAGAGATGAAAAATACCCAAAGCATGCTGCTTATATACCACCTCATAGTGCTTAAAGCACTTTCTGGATGGTTTACAATCTAGTTATGCAGGACACACATTGCAGACACCCCCACCCCCACGGGCTGGGTATTCAATTTACGCTTCGAACCTCAGAAGGATAGAAGGCTGAGTGAACCTAAAGCCAAATAGCTGAGCCTGCCAGGATCAAATTCAGGTTATGAGCAGTCTTGATTGCAGTATTAGCAGTTTAGTCACTGGGTCACTGTCATAGCTTTAGCAGGTAAATCTGTCCTCTGTAAGGACAGATCTTGAAGTTGAGGCTCCAATCCTTTGGCCATCTCATGAGAAGAGAAGACTCCCTGGAAAAGACCCTGATGTTGGGAAAGTGTGAAGACAAGAGGAGAAGGGGACGACAGAGGACGAGATGGATGGACAGGGTCATCGAAGCGACCAAGCTGAATTTGACCCAACTCTGGGAGGCAGTGGAAGACAGGAGGGCCTGGCGTGCTCTGGTCCATGGGGTCACAAACAGTTGGACACGACTAAATGACTAAACAACAACAACAAGGTATCTGAGCAGTCATTATCTGTTACACGTCAAGTGGTATGAGCCAGTATGCACCAGCTTACGACTATGGAGATTTCTTAACCTGAAGCAGCTCATCTCCAAAAGGTGCACCTCTTCCATAATGAACCTGCTGCCTGAGTCTTGACTGCAGTACTGAAATCTGACCGTTGTGCCACGAGGCTCCTATGAATATGGCAAGCCATTCACATTTGTCTTTAGACAAGGAGTTCAAATTAAGGCAGAAGGGAGTCTAAGCCACCTGCTGCACAAATCCCATAGTTTAACTGTAAGATTTTTTTTTTGATAAGTGATGGGTGCTGTGATAATTTCATCCAGCTCTCAATCATTATGACATGTTTGGGGGGGGGCTTGAAAGAAGCAAACGGATGAGATGTATGACGCTCATTACAATAGAGGAAAGTTTCATTCCTGCCACATGATTAGTCATTTGAACTTCGGGCTTGAAAGAAGCAAACAGATAGGCTGTATGACGCTCATTACACCAGAGGAAAGTTTCATTCCTGCCACGTGATTAGTCATTTGAACTTTAGGACTTGGTGGAGTCGGTGTGGAGAGATGACAATTCACCAGACAAACTCCCACTGCCTCTTGGCCTGGCACAAGCCGCCGAGACGGGTGCCCGTTAACCTTGCAAAACAAGGGTGCTGAGAGAACCAGCCTCCTACCTCGATATTCCTGCTTGTGCCTTGCAAGTCTCCAATGTAGGCCTGGATCCTGTCATTTGCAGCCACGAGGCCACCAATCCCATCGGTCAGCTCCGCCTCAAGGGGAGAAGTTAGAAGGTCAGATGGGTTTGCCACTGAGAACATGGCTATGTGTTTATTCCCCAGTATCCTGAAGCTGCCCCCACAACTCACAGATTGAACCGCTTTAAAAACAAGATATATACTAGGGATTGGTTCTTTAAGCATAAGATCTGCTGCTGCTCTTGGCACCCACTTCCAGTGCCCACAAGAAGCAAAAAGTTGTACAGCAGGACCCCCTTCTCCACAGGATCAGTATCCACTGATTCACTTATCCATGGCCTGAAAATATTAAAAATATTAAAAGACAAAAGACAAAAATCCAGAAAAAACTATTTTCACATGTATTACCAGAACTACCCATTAGAGGGAGCTAGAGACTGTGCTTGTGAAGTCTTGTTAGTGAAGAATATGATCTTTGCTGCCCTCTACTGGTCAGTTCTGGTAATGCATGTGAAAATATTTTTCCATTATATCATTTTTGTATATATTCTATTATATAATGGAAAAATAGAACCCCCATATCTGCTGGGGATATACAGTAGAACCCCCATATCTGCTGGGGATATTGCTGCTGGGGATATGTAGTTCACTATTATCCATGGGTTTCATTATCCACTATGGGCTCGGAACCAATATCCCCAGCAGATATGGGGGTTCTACTGTATAATAATGAAGACAGAAGCAACTTCAGAGAGGTAGTGCTAAATTTTACTCCATTGTCTAGTTTGGAGGTCGGGAACCAGTGGCCCAGGAACTACACCTGACACGGTCACTTCTCCTTGATACCATGGTTTGAAGGTTTCCAGCCTTTGTATAAGCTCCCCCCCCCCGGCCCGTTTTGAAAAATAAAACTGCTATCCCCTACAACTTTGGCACTAGCCATGAGAACTTTCCACTAAAATGTGCTGGAATTTTAAGACCCGCCCTATGTCTTTCTGCTCCGCCCACTGTTGGAAGAGGCTCCACCCCCACATCTCTGAAATCAGATCCGGTCCTCCGACCCAAAAGCGATTTCCCGCTTGATCTCTCTAGGGTTCAGAGAACAGAAGCTGGAAGGCCAAAGCAGCCCCCCTCCCCTTGCCAGCCACTGGGAAATGGGTTAGGCCCACCTTCTGCTTCGTGTAGATGTCCGAGAGGGGGGCCACTTCACACTCCTTGTGCTCCCCAAAGACTTTGCAGAGGGAGCAGGTGGGGACGGAACACGTCACGCAGTAGATGTTGATCTTCTCTTCCTCATGTTCTTCACAGGTTGGGTGTTCACTTTTTAGCAGAGGTCTGAGAAGGGAGGAATAAGATGTTGGAATAGTATATAGAGCCGCGGTTCCCCAGACTGGGACAGGTTGGGTGTTCACTTTTTAGCAGAGGTCTGAGAAGGGAGGAATAAGATGTTGGAATAGTATATAGAGCCGCGGTTCCCTAGACTGGGATACCCCATAAGTTCTTGGACTAACACTCCCAGAAGCCTTCACTGCTCGCTGTGTTGGCCAGGATTTCTGGGAGTTGCAATCCAAGAACTTCTGGAGACCCAAGGTTGGGAATCACTGATCTAGAGGAAATAAGTGTGTGGAGGAATGAGAGAAAGGGAGGGGATGTAAATGTGGATACTCTATGCAAAATGTGAGAAAGCCACTAATTTTTTTTACCACAATTCCCTATGTGCTGCAGCCAGCAAAGCTGGAGGTTTCTGGGAGTTAAATTCTTAACACCACACTTTTTCAAGCTTTGTGTTTGTTTGTTTGTTTGTTTGTTTGTTAGAAGGATTTATAAATGTTTGAAATATGGTGCTAGAGGAGAGTTTTGTAGATAAAGTGGTGCCTCGCTCAACAATTACCTCGTTAAACAACGAATCCGCTTGACGGTGAGTTTTGCAATCACTTTTGTGACCGCAAAACGATGTTTCAATGGCCAAAAATCGCTTTACGACGATCGGTTCCCTGCTTCAGGAACTGATTCTTCGCATTATGACGATCTGAAAACAGCTGGTCGTTGGGTTTCAAAATGGCCGCCTGCTGTGCAAAATGACTCCCCGCTGTTTTTAGGAGGCATTTTTCACTTTACAGCATTGGAAAATGGCCGCCCTATGGCGGATCTTCGCTGGATGATTAGGTATTTAGCCCATTGGAACGCATTGAACCAGTTTTCAATGCATTTCAATGGGTTTTTTATTTTTGCTTGACGAGGATTTCATTCTACAGTGATTTTGCAGGAATGGATTATTCTCGTCAAGCGAGGCACCACTGTACTTTCAACTGCCAGAAAGACAAACAAGTGGGTCCTAGAACAAATCAAGCCGGAACCATGTCTTGAGGCAAAACTGACAAAATTGAGGCTGACTGACTTTGGGCACCTCATGAGGAGGCAGGATTCCCTGGAGAAAACAATCATGTTGGGAAAGGTGGAAAGACAGCAGGAAAATAGGAAGACGCAATATGAGATGGATAGACTCCTTAAAGAAAGCCCCAGGCTTGAGTTTGCAGGAATTGAGCAGGGCAGTTAAAAGCAGTGTATTTTGGAAGTCATTCATTCATAGGATTGCCATAAGTTGGGAGACAACTTGATGCCATATAACCGCATCTGTTAATAGTGGTGGCATTTCCCAGGACCTTCAGTATAACGAAATATATTTAAATACAGATTGAAAACCATGTGAAAAATTTACAGTAAAACCCAAAGGCCATATGAAATAATACAGTTTAATCTATCTAGCAGATGTTCAACAAGGATGGAGCCTTTTAAACTGAGGTACGGCTATAGAAAGAGTCTTGTGCCAATCTGGCCTTCTCTTCAGGATTCCTGGTAGCAGAAGGCAGTCCCTCGGGTTTCCTGGTCCTAAGCTATATATTTATATCTAATGAGTTTCTCAGCTGCCTTTCAAAACTGTAGTGATCTCACAATTGTGGAAGGTTGTCAGAGTCATAGAATCATAGAAAAGCGAAGTTGGAAGGGGCCTACAAGGCCATCCAGTTCAACCCCTTGCTCAAGGCAGGAAGACCGTCAAAGCGTATCCGCCAGGTGCTTATCTAAGTTGTTCTTGAATGCCTCCAGTGTTGGAGCACTCACCAACTCCAGAGATAACTGGTTCCACTGTCACAGAAAAGGCAGTATTAAGGTTTAATGAAACACGAAGCAATACAAAGGAGCACTCACCAGACCCCTGTCTTATCCGAGCCACTCTGGGTGGTTGGTGGCCATTCTCCAATCTCTCAGGAACTACTGTATTTAATAATCCCAGAATTTATCTTGGCTTCTTCTGGACAAATGAGACAACATTCTGGTATTTGATCAAAAGCGACTTGCTTGGTTTTGCGGTTGTTCTATGTAAGCTCCAAACTAGAGAGTGGGAGGAATAAAGTTGTCTTCAAATAAAAAAGGAGGATGATTAATTTTTTTTCATGTAGCGCACAGAGACCTCTAGCGGCCAAACAGAATGCAGACCATTAAATCACTCCCCTTACTTCGCTTCCATGCCGGAGCCTAGAAATAACTAGTTACAGTACTCGTAACATAGGTGGCTATAACCAGTTAGTTTGGGGGGGGGGAATGAGAATGTAACTAAGTTACATTTCAAAAGCTGTGTCATGAACAATTTCATTGCAGCAGGAAATTGCCCTCTGCCAAACTAGGGTAGCAAAGGGCTAGGAACCATCTACACATTTGGAAAAAATGTACTTTTGATCTAGATCTGGGAGACAAAGAAGGGCTACAAGAGAACTCTATTTCACGCTGTGGTCTCGGTCCTGTTGCCAGCTGATGGAGACACAAGACGGGTCCTTCTCTGTGGCCTCTCCCAGGTTATGGATGGCTCTCCCTCTGGAGGTCACAAAAGCTGCCTTGTCTCTTTCCACGGACCGCTGAAGACCCGCGTTTTCAGGCAGGCTTTCCACAATCATGATTGAATCCCTGAATCCCTTCTTAGAATTAAGATACTTTTGAATGTTCATTTGCTTTTAATTCTTCGACTGAATTTTAATTTGTGTATAGTTTGGCTGTTGTTTTTTTTAAGGCTTAACTTATTATGTTTTTAATTCTGTTCTTTTTAATATTATGAGCCACCTTGAGTCCCCCTTATAAAGGCAGCCTGTAAATAAAAGAAGAAGAAAAAAACCCCCAAACGAATACATTTGGGTTGATCTTTCCAAGATGGCTTGAGACATAAGTGGGGAAAAAAGAATATCTAGTTCTTTCTCGCTACGAATGAATAATGTTGTTGTTTTGAGTTATAGACCGCCCCATAGTACTAGAGTTGTCTCTGGCCAGTTTACAACGTAATGACAACGCCTTGCCGCTTCAGTAAAACGAGTACTCATTTTATGGACCTCAAAAGATGGAAGGCTGAGTTAAACTTTGAGGCAGCTACCTGAACCCGTTGGTAATATCCATTAAGACCAAAAACAAAACAAAACAAACAAACAAACCCAGGGACAAAATGGAAAAAAATAATGATCTGACTATGAAAGAAGGGATGTGGTGGTGGTGCGGGCTAAACTGCAGAAGCCTCTGTGCTGCAGGGTCAGAAAACCAGCAGTCGTAAGATCGAATCCATGCAAGCGGAGTGAGCTCCCAGCTCCTCGCCAACCTAGCGGTTCGAAAGCATGCAAATGCAAGTAGATAAATAGGGACCACCACGGCGGGAAGGTAACGGCGTTCTGTGTCTAAGTCGCACTGGCCACGTGACCACGGAAGCTGTCGTCGGACAAAACGCTGGCTCTATGGTTTGAAAAACGGGATGAGCACTGCCCCCTAGGGTCGGACACAACTCGACTAAAAATATCAAGGGGAACCTTTACCTATGAAAGAAGGATGAGGTCATTGGCTGCCACATGGCATTATAGTTATGAATTGTGGCCAGTAGACTTTGAAAGATCTGTTCAGAAGCAACTGGAGCTGAGCAGTGCAAAACAACGGAGAACTTAACACTTCTGTCCATTCTCACGGAGTGTACCACTCTACCACAGTTTGAGTAAATCCCTGGTTTGGACTATAGTCCATAATCCCCCAGCTAGTACAGCCAACTGAGGGGTTTAGAATCAGAGAATCATGAAGTTGGAAGGGGCCTAGAAGGCCATCAAGTCCAACCCCTTGCTCAGTGCAGGGAATACATATCAAAGCAGATCGGACAGGTGGCTGCCTAATTTTTTCTTGCATGCATCCAGCGTCGTACTGCTCTAACCGTCAGAAAGTTTTTTCCTGATAGTCAACCGAAATCTGGCTTCCTATAACTTGAGCCCATTATGACGTGTCCTGCTCTCTGGGATGATCGAGAAGAGACGGTAGCCACAAGAGGACCTTTTTCAAGCTGTGATCAAGATCCTGCTATTCAGTGTCATGATAATAGATGTCTCACTCAATGTCCAGTGAAACTGAGAAGCAACAGTTTAGCCTGCCCACCCCACCCACAGGCACACAGAGACACATAATTGTGTGACAACGTTACAAACCTCTCTGGCCCCCTCGCTGATGCTTGTTTGTAAACATCTATGATGTTCTCCACCAACAGATTCCGTTGCAGCCCATAAATGCCATGTCTGTCCAGGACCACTTCATGGCGGCAGGATGGGCAGCGAAACCTCCCTGCAGATCCTAAGGTCGTTCCTCGAGACTGGAAGATACAAAAAGGTGTACATTTACACACAGATGAGGCAAGGAAACCTTTCCAATGCTGCCCTGCCACGGAGATGTGTAGTGGATTCTTGGTGGAGGCTTCAAGAATTTTTGCCATGGATGACTTATATGCTTTGGGAGCCATCCCAGATCATCATGACTGATTTGTCTCTGGTATCGGCATTTCTCTTGTCTTCAAGAAACTAGTTCTTTTAATGAAATATTTTAAAGAAGTCTTTAAGAAATCCACTTCTGAACGTTCTGGACTGAGCATCTCTGAAAGCTTCCCTCCAAAGCTCTTATCACTAAAATTAACCACAAATGGAAGTATGAAATGTGGTCCCTGGAACAAACCATTACTCAAAACAAACCTCGCTCTTAGAAGATTTGAAAAAGAGCGGCAGGTCACAGAAAAAGGCCCTGTACAAAACAAGGTAAGAGAAATGTCGTATGGATGGTGGAAAAACAATGATAATAATGCAAAATTTGGTGCTTTAAGGAGAATAGATGCTCCAGCTGAAATAGCCAGCAGGCCCCCCAAAAGACCCCAGAATGACTTCTGCAGAGTATGCCATTCAAATAAAATGAATCCTTGCTGTTTCTCTAAATATATATATGGAGATATAATTCCTTTTTATCGTAGCATGTGAGATTCTGTGAATGTATAACAGAGCTAAAGAGGAATTTTAGAACACATCAGTTTAACATATGTTAAAGTCTTTAAACCCTTTCCTCCATTTAAACATGGTTTTTAATTGAGTATTCGCAGAATTCGGGCAAATGAAATATTCAGAAACAGAGCAATGGAACTGATTCTCAGTCTTTGGCTCAAGACAGCTAGAATTATGAAGGTCATCGTCCACCTCCCTTCTGGTTACCAGGAACTTAAGTAAGTGGGGCTGCTGAAGGAGATGATGGATCACGATATTTTTACAAGCAACCAAGGCCCAAGAGAGCCAGCGCAAGACACGCAAAAGCAGGTGTAAGCCATTTCCCTAGAGAGTCAAAGGACTGGAAATTAGCACTTTCGCAACCCTCCAGTTATCTGGAGCTGGCCGTAAGAAAATCCAACAAAGGAATGGGTTGCAACTAGACAAGTAAACCTCTTGGTGAGACGCCAGGGCGTAGCTTGTCTCCTCCCCTATCCTGATGCTGCAGCTCTCTAAAAACTGACTGCAGTGCCTCATTCCTAGAAGAAAATGAATGAATGAAAACCGAGACAAGAAAAAAAAATAGGCTCATGTCCACCGACTAGTTCCATCTAGAGTAGATCCATGGAGGGAAAGGGATTTACACACGTATTGACTTACCACTTAGCAGTTGATTCAGTAGAATTGCCTTTAGCTGGATTGAGCAATAAGATACCAGCCATGAAATCTCAAGGACTGCCTCTCTCTCTCTCTCTCTGCCTTATAAAAGGTGTTTTCAGTCTTGAGTTTATTTATTGTTTTTAATATAAAATTTAATTCTTTTTAATGTTTGTATACTTACGGTTTCAGCTTTTAAATATTGAGTTTTTCATGAGGTGAATTGTCTTAGGTCCTTTTCAAGGAGAAAGGTGGGGTCAAAATATTTTAAATAATTAAATGCTGAAAGTTAGACTGTATTGGCCACATATTGTTGTTGTTTAGTCATTAAATCATGTCTGACTCTTTGTGACCCCTTGGACCAGAGCACGCCAGGCCCTCCTGTCTTCCACTGCCTCCTGGAGTTGGGATATATTCATGTTGGGAGCTTCGACGACCCTGTCCAACCATCTCGTCCTCTGTCATCCCCTTCTCCTCTTGCCTTCACACTTTCCCAACATCAGGGTCTTTTCCAGGGAGAGTTCTCTCCTCATGAGATGGCCACAGTATTGGAGACTAAACAGATTTAGAAGTTGTTTTCGAAATTGAGGACTTTGGTATTGAGGGCTTCAATTTGTGTGTCTTAGAAGTCTTAGACGATGCAGATGGAGAATCAGAATGAGCTGGTGATGATTCAGTAATGGCTTTTTACATTGTGTTGGTTTGGGAAGTGGCTGTACAGGGAGGTTCAGCCACTTGAACCGGTTGTAAGGATTGTTTCCAAAGTCGGAGTTTGAGCCTTGAGAGGTGAGATTGAAGAACTCTGCGCTTAATTTTTTTTGCAGTGGGTACAGGAGGAAGTTTGATGTCGTTCTCCCAAACAGAAAAGGCATTTTGCGTGTCCGTTTGAAAGTGGGATCTTACTATCACTGACAACGCAGTGCTTAAACGGGCCCAAAGGAGCCATGAATAGGAGAAAATAAGAAAAATAGAATAAGCTCTCTTTCTCTTTTACTCACAGAAACAGAATTATGACGCTCTCAACGCGGCAGTTGAAAGAAACCGAAAGGGGACACTTGGCGCCAAGGTGCTTATACGGGTGGGGAAGAGCCTTATTCTAATGTGTTTATTGCTACCGCAGAAGCTCTCAAATGTTCCAATGAGGATCCACGCAGGCACAAATCACCCAGGTTGTGATTCACAGAGGCCACAAAGAAGAACTAACAGTCCCAACATCCACAGCAATTGGCCATGTCAGCTGGGGACCACTGTAGACCAACACATTTGGATGTCACCAGATCATCCAAGGCAGGTCCGGGGTATGTCAAGAAATCTTTCTTCTGTGGGTTGAAGATGGCATGAATGTCAAGCAGAACCTCCACGCTCACGTCATAGTATGAGGTAGCAGAGAAGAAGAAAATACCTTTTCTCACCCATGATACTGGATATCTGCTGCCAGTCTGACAAGGAAAGTGTAGGCAAGGTAGAGAAATACTCTAACTTGTTCTAAAGCAACACTTTATGATCCTCTTCAAGTACCTGTCGGCTAGGGTTATGATGGAGTAAGGTTCCCTAGTAGTGTTGAGCAACTCATCAAGGTAGGAGACAGAGAGCAGTCACAGGCCTCAGCCGTGCTTCTTGGCATAATCTGCACCAATGCAGGCTCAGGCACAAAACCGGGAACCAATTGATATTACAGACTGTCCCCTTGAAATCCATGTCCGGAAGGTGTCATTCATTGAGCCTTATGGAAGAGTGGTTAAAATGCAGTACCACAGTCAGGACTCTGCTTATGACCTGAGTGACATGCTCAGGTAGCTGGCTCAATGTTCACTCAGCCTTCCATCCTTCTGAGGTTGGTAAATTGAGTGCCCAGTTTGCTGGGGAGGGGGAGAACAATGTGTAGCCGGCATAATGACATTGTAAATCACCCAGAGACTGCTTTAAGTGCTATGGGGTGGTCAATAAGCAGCAGACTTTGCTTTGTTTTTTCTTAGCCACACTGCTCAGCTTGGAGGGGGTTAGTTTAGCCAAACCGTTTACGAGTCTTGCAGCAGCTTAATGATTAGTTTTATTTGGCAGAAGCTTTCAGGGACTGTAGCCAAGGTGTGAAGAAGCGGGCAATCATCCACAAATAATGGCTTCTGTCAAATCATTAGTTTTTAAGATGCCACAAGAACTGGGCTACAGTCCATGACATCTTATTCCCAATAAAACTCTTAGTCTGGTCAAGCCCAGGATCGGAAGACCTTCTGCAGATTTTGTTCGTTCTGCTGAAGCCATTAACATTTGGATAAGCTAGTAACGTTGCTGTAGAGCGAAGATGGGAAGGAAAAACAGGTGGGGGAGAAAAATATATTGATGCAGGAGCCCTGGATAACTTCCAAGAAAGATGTTAACAATTACAGTGCTGATACCTGATCTCTTTTCTTATTTTCCCTTATTCTATTATCCCTCCCTTTTATTATAATTGTAATGAC